CGGGGTGCTGAGACTGGGGGTGCTGAGACTGGGGGCGCTGAGCCTGGGGGTGCTGAGACTGGGGGTGCTGAGCCTGGGGGTACTGAGCCTGGGGGTGCTGAGACTGGGGGTGCTGAACCTGGGGGTGCTGAGACTGGGGGTGCTGAGCCTGAGGGTACTGAGCCTGGGGGTGCTGAGCCTGGGGGTGCTGTGCCTGGGGGTGCTGAGCCTGGGGGTACTGCGTCTGGGAGTGCTGCGCCTGCTGCTTCTGTTCCTGGTGGTTCTCCAGACCGTTCCTCACGCCGCGAGCCGCTCTCTCCTCTGGAGCTGCGTGAGTGGTTTGCCCGGCGCTGGAGGCGAGCTGCTGGAGCTGGGGGTACTGCGGGTGCTGGAGGTTCCGTTGCTGCCGAGGGAGCTGGTACCACGGGTCCCGGAGGTGCTCGTACTGCGAGTACTGGAGCTGCCGGGCCCGGGGGTGCCTCTGGAGCTGGAGCTGCTGCGGGTGCTGGCGCTGAGGCTACGACTGTCGGTCCTACTGCGGGTACTTCTGCAGCTGCTGGTGGTGCTGGAGTTGGAGCTGCTACTGGTGCTGGTGCTGCCTCTGGAGGTGTTGGTGCTGTCCCTGCTGTCTCTGGCGGTGCTGCGCGGCCTCGGCCGTACTTCGTTCCGCTCCTTCAGCAGGTTCTTGGTCTCCCGCCTTCCACTAGTCCTTCTCCTCCCGTAGAGTGTCCGCAGCCTGTCCCGTCACAGTCACAGTTACAGCCCGCCTCTCCCCTGCCTTCTCCTTCTCCCTACGCTGGTCCTACTGGAGGTCTTGCTGAGCGTCGTGAGCCTGCGTCCCGCCCTGCGTCGCCAGTCCGAGCTGCTCGCCCTAGTGGTCGCGGTTCGCGTCAGCGTCCTCCTCCTGTCCCTGGCACGCACCAGATGTCTTTGCGTCCGTCCACTGCTCCTCTGCGTGCCCCTTTACCTTCTCCTCCTCAGTCTTCTCTTCCTACACTTGCCGACCCGGAGTCGGACTCTCACCGTGCTGCCAGTCCTACTGTCACGCGTCTTCTTGCTTCTCTTGTCACTGACCCTTCCTTTGAGTCCGCTGCTGCGTCTGCCCTAGTTGCTGAGCTGGTCGACTTTGCTGCTGCGTGTCGTCTGGACTACGCTGCCAGTCTTGTTGCTGAGTCTGCTGAGTCTGCTGAGTCTGCGTCTGCTGCGTCTGCGTCTGCCTGTCCTCCGTCCGTCGGGGGTGACTGTGCTCTTGGCACGGACGTCCTTGAGGACAGGCAAGAGGAGTTCCAGTGCTTTGCCGCCGCTTTGCCCCATCTCGTGTCCATGCTTGTTGCCCCTGAGGGAGACCCGGATGCTCTAGACATCCCGACCCCACGCTCTTACGCAAAGGCGATGGCCGGTCCCTACTCCTCTCAGTGGCAGTCAGCCATGGACGCAGAGATGGCTTCCTGGAAGTCCACAGGCACCTACGTTGACGCTGTTCCCCCTCCTGGGGCGAACATTGTCAGTGGCATGTGGATCTTCGGGTGAAGCGGCCGCCGGGTTCTCCGCCTGTCTTCAAGGCGCGCTACGTGGCTCGTGGCTTCAGTCAGCGACAGGGAGTTGACTTCTTTCAGACCTTCTCCCCGACCCCGAAGATGACCACTCTTCAGGTTCTACTGCACGTTGCTGCTCAGCGTGACTACGAGCTACACTCTCTTGACTTCAGCACTGCTTTCCTGCAGGGCCGCCTGCATGAGGAGATCTGGTTGCGCCGCCCTCCTGGCTTCACTGGGTCGTTCCCTCCTGGTACCCAGTGGAGCCTCCGGCGGCCAGTCTACGGTCTCCGCCAGGCGCCGCGTGAGTGGCACGACACACTGAGGACTACACTTGCGGCTCTTGGGTTTGCTCCTTCTACTGCTGACCCGTCGCTGTTTCTGCGCACCGACACCTCGCTGCCGCCGTTCTACATCCTCGTGTACGTCGACGACTTGGTCTTTGCCACTGCGGACACTGCCGCACTCGCCCACGTGAAGTCCGAGCTGCAGAAGAGACACACGTGCACAGACCTGGGTGAACTCACAAGCTATCTTGGCTTGCGGATCACCCGGGACAGAGCACGCCGCACCATTACCCTGACTCAGTCACACATGGTGCAGCAGGTCCTTTAGCGCTTCGGCTTCACGTACTCCTCGCCTCAGTCCATTCCTCTGCCTACGGGACACTCGCTCTCAGCTCTGCCTTCGGATGAGTCCGTAGAGTCGAGTGGTCCGTATCCAGAGCTTGTGGGCTGCCTCATGTACCTGATGACTTGCACTCGACCTGACCTCGCATACCCTCTCAGCATCTTAGCACGCTATGTTGCTCCCGGCCGTCACCGGAAGGAGCACATGGATGCAGCTAAGAGGGTGTTGCGCTACTTGTGCAGTACGTCGGGCATGGGGCTAGTGCTTGGAGGGCGTGAGCGGCCTGTGCTCACTGGGCACTCAGACGCTTCTTGGGCTGACGACCAGGCTACTCAGAGGTCGTCTCAGGGTTACACCTTCAGTCTTGGCTATGGCTCTGTCTCTTGGCGCTCTACTCGATCTTCTTCGGTTCTCAGCTCCAGCTGTGAGGCTGAGATCTACGCCACGGCCATGGCTGCCCATGAGCTTCGCTGGCTCACCTACCTGCTGACTGACCTTGGAGAGCGGCCTCGTTCTCCTCCAGTGCTGTACGTCGACAACAAGGCAACCATTGCCTTGTGTGAGGAGCACAGACTGGAGCATAGGACGAAGCACATTGCTCTGCGCTACTTCCTTTCTCGAGAGCTGCAGCAGCGTGGTCAGCTTTGCCTGCGTTTCGTGGCCACTGAGGCCAACACTGCTGATGTGTTCACCAAGGCACTTCCGCCTCGTGACCATCAGCGCTTTTGCACTCTGCTAGGCCTTGTGCCCACTGGGCCTCACTTGCTTACCTCTTGACCTTGCTTGTACTGCTGCATATATATATCCTTGCTCTTGCTTGTTTAGCACTGTTATATATATATGCTCTGCTGCATGTGAACTGGCCTTGTGGCCTTGACCTTGTGCTCGGAATTTGTGTGGTATCCTTGAGATCCACCCTGAGCTTGTTTTGCTTTGCTTTGCTTTGCTTGACTGGTCTTGTGACCCCTTGCTTTCCCCCACTTTGCCTATCGGGGTGTGTCAGATGATCATATTACTGATGCATATATTTAGGCTGTAGTGGGGTAGCCCATAGGGGGTTCAACCCAATTAGGGTTGGTACTTGTACTTGTTTCATTTCATAGTGCAACCATTCCTCGCCTCTATCTCAACATGACGCGATCCTGGTCGTCGTCGATCGACTAACAAAAATGGCACATTTCGCAACATGCAGGAAATCAATCACAGCCGAGGAAACAGCCCGACTCTTCATCGCCACCGTCGTTCGACTGCACGGGATACCAGCGTCGATCATCAGCGACAGGGACACGAAGTTTACCAGTAATTTCTGGCGGAACCTGTGGCAGCAGTTCGGCACGCGACTTCAATTCAGTTCATCCTATCACCCCGAAACCGACGGACAGACGGAACGGACAAACCAGACCATGGAGCAGCTGATTCGAGCCACGTGTGACGATCCGAACACGTGGGAACAGCAGCTGCCCCTCATCGAGTTCGCATACAATAACGCGCCATCAGCCACGACACAACAGTCGCCGTTTTACTTGAATTACGGACAGGACCCAACAGTACCCATGACACCGAATCCCGACAACCCCGTCCCACGAGCATAACAGTTCGCCGAGATTCTGCAAGTAGCACGGACCAGGGCAACAGAAGCAATAAAAAAATCAAATATCATCGCTAAACGCAACGCCGATCGCCACCGCAGACCCGTCACTTACGAGCCCGACGACCTCGTTTTACTCGACACTCAGAACCTCCGCCTGCCCATCACTCCCAAATTCCGCCCTCGATACTGTGGGCCATTTCGAATCAGTCACATGATCACGCCTGTCACCGCTCACCTCCTCCTTCCTGCTGACTGGTTCGTCAGCCCCTCGTTCCACGTCAGCCTGCTTCGCCCTTACGTACCATCCACCAGCCAACTCCCACGACATCGACCCTCCAGCATGACACGACCACCAACCGAACCAGTCATCACACCCGATAAAATCCTGAGCCACAGAGTTCGTGACCCTCGAGGAGCCCGAAAAGTGGAGTTTCTGATCCGCTGGAAAGATCGTACCCCCACCGAGGACAACTGGGTTCCCCTGGACAAAGTCGAAAACCACCCTGTCGTCACGGACTATCTGCGCAGCCGAAATTTCAGAGACGTCCACGCACTTTCGTAAAGAGGACCTCCTTAGGAGGGGGGGTAGTGTAAGGAAATTCCCTTTTCCTTACTTCGCGTCCCTGCTCAACGCGTACATCACTGTAGCACCTCAGTCAGCACCGTTACCACTCGCGACCATCGCATCATTCATCATCCCGCCATCTTCGCACATCGCATCCCGACCTCACGGCTCGGCTGGTAACCCGCGCTCCGGGCCTACGCTTCGACACTTTCCCAACCTCAGTCCCAGGCTCGTCGCGCGACCATTATCGTTACCACTGTAGTTTTGCTATATATTGTTCGCCCATGCCTTCGCTCATTGTACTCTTGATTCGATAGTGCAATTCTCGTTCGTTCACTCAATTGCACTCGTAACAGAAGCACAGAACAGTATGCTGCAATATATATTTTTGTTTCACATATATATACATTTTCTCTATGTCTGTTGACATCAGAGGAATATAATGATGACCCAACAACAGCTCTGAAGAAGTTTCATATTGTAGTTTCACTGGGGGAGCAAGGCAATAGTTCCTCGAGCTCATAAGCGTTCTACAACATGTGACGCGACTGAACTAACAAGGATATACTACAATGTAGATCAGTGCCAGCAAGCACTGTAGCCACTGCCAGAATGGGCTTTACTGGCGTTTATGAACAGATTATTGCAGATGCAAATGCAGTGGGGCCCACACATGTGGAGGGAAAGTCTACCATTTTTACTAAAAAAGGCTTCTACGAAACGACCGTGCCGTTGTCTGGTAAGTCTTGATTAGAAGACCCACGCCTATACCCACTCCTATGCACATGCCAAGTCCAAGACCCACACCAACCCTCACTCCAGCATTGAACCAGGAAAGCTCGCCATTTCCCTCCTCATTTTCAACATAGCCTGCAGGGAGATCATAGAATCCTGGAAACTGGCTCGGCTGCTTCTCAGAACCATTGTAATTTTCCTGTACGAACAAATCAGGGGCAGTGGAGGAAGAAATTGACAATTGAGAGATGGAAGATTGACTAAAGGCAGACGGAGCAACAATTCATACTCTCCAGAACACGGATAACGTACAACAAACTGAAAACCACCGCGGACAAGAAATACAGAACATAACGAGACGGAAAAAGAAGCACTAGGTGGAGGGTACAAGGCAAGAGGGGCCGAGACGGGTGCGGGAGGGGGGTTGGGGTGGGAGGGGGAATGGGGAAAGGGGGAAGAAAGCCGGGTCACATATATAAAACAGAACCAGAACATAATTATGCCTCGCACCTGAAAAACGACGACTTTCCGCAGATCCTCGTCGAGAGCCGCCGTCCTGGCATGCATCCGGTCGGGTTCCTCAACCTCGGGGATTGCGTCCAGACCTGCCTTCCAGTGGTTCTTCCGCCTGGCGGTCAGTTGCACCGTCTCCGTCAGCATGACCGGCAAACCGTCACACCTGCCGACTATGCAGATCTCCAGTGACGGCTGAACTGCGTGATCCGACAGCTCTTGAACCGACTTGACGGCGAACCCGCTCCAGGAACTGCTAGTGGTGCAGGAGCATTCAAGCGTCCACTGACCTTCCAACGGTAACCCTCGTTCAGGTAATACGGGTAAGCCTGAAACCGTCTCCTCCAATGCCTGTCTGGGTCGTAGATTGAGCGAGCAGGCGACCAGTTGTTCCCCTTCATGAAAGATATCAAAAGAGAGAGTTCTTCGGATTCTTAATCTGTCCGTGCTGACGAATGTCGCTTCAGAACTTTCAGAGTCAGCTCGGTCTTTTCTTAACGATAACGAGACGTCTTCCAACGGGCTTCTTCTCGCGCCGTTAACTTCCAATTCTGAGGAAATTTCGCGAGGAGGACAAGAAAAAACGAGGTAGTCGGAGCTGCTGTTAATGATGTTTTGAGCAGATATTCTGGCGTAGATGACCTTCACGTCGAGCCATCCTGCTGCTTGACCTGCAACCTGAGAAGACATAACGGCCTCAATTCCCACGAAATCCACGTCCAGCTGCCTCTTGAAGTCAAGAAGAATAATATTTTGGTACGGCTGCAGGGAAAACTACAAACCCTACTTAATGTAAACGCGAGCTTCTTGATGCAAGAGGAAGCTCCCTTTTCCGTAAAACGGCAGCATCGACAGACTTCCAAGGAGATCACAGCAGATGACTGCCGCACTAGAAGCTGATTGGAAACTTGATGGAGTAAGTTGTTTAGTGACTGGAGTGAATCATCTACAGGCGATTCAGTTTCCTAGCATACAGGTCAGGGAGAGGGGAAATTGATGTTGAGTTTAGCAGCAGCACACCGTGCGGTAAGCTCCGCCTAAGCGCAGTACACCCTGTTTCTCGACCCTCTCACCTTGCGCGATTCGCTGCTACAGTGCGGTCAGGTGCCATAAACCGTATGGCTGAAACCTGCGGGCAAAGCCGCACCAGCTGACGGAGTGGTACTGGGGGCAAAATTTTTCTTTATCGCTGTATACCCTTTTCAACCGCTTTGAAACGCTTGTTTAAAGTTCTTTACCATGCAGCATCCTAGCTAACCGCTTTCTTGTGAATGTGCTTGTACCGTCGGTGATAAGACCATTTCAAACGTGGTGACGTTCTACAACCAGTGCATGTTCTGCAACCAGATGCTCTGCTAGCGCGAAACAGGGTGTACGCTTCTCCCCAATCCCAGTGGACTGCCTCAATCGCGAATGGATTTTCCCGAACCCCCGTCATCCATTGACAGGTTTGGCTTCGCCCCTCCGTTCCAGCAGAGCACAAGCACGTGTGGGGGAAAGGCATCCTTTTCCGCCGAAGTTCCGCGGACGTTCTGTGATGGTGAAGGTACGTGAAGCAAGAAAAGAACACGAGCAATTCGTGAAGATAATGTGAGAGCAGCTTTAGCGATGGATATCCTCTAGTTACTTACGACCTCGCCCAGTAAGAGTATGGCTTGTTCTTCGCGAAAGCCGCTTTTGCGAGAACTACAGCCGAGATCGTTGTGCTTCTGCGAAAGCCCTGAGGGTTGGGCTACACAATTTGTGGGAGGGAAGCGGGATTCGCGAAACGTTGCCTCATAACGCCCGGAAAACGCCAAGAACAAGAAGTTCCCGTCGCTGCATGGTGTTTGACGAAGTTGCTTGCCTGCGCCGCGCGTGCATCCAATCGACGTGAGTCAGCTGTACATGCTGCGTGCGGATCCCCTGATTGGTGACAGCGATTGGCCTCTAGACCACGAGCGAGGTACATTCCGCCTCTCCGGGAAACGATGACCCGGTGGCGGGCCCAGCTCCGCTGATTGAGCCAGGAAGCTTGGCGCACATTGGGGTGTGGGCCCAAGTGCAACTCAATAAGCTTCATCCATGTTGGGTACAGTGGAATATTAGTTACACCACTACAAGAATATCACAATCAACTTCCTATGTCTATGCAGCCTCATTTCTTTATGTAATTTCATGCACACCCTTTACAGGGGCAGACTCCAATCCCCAATCCCAAGGCAGGGCCCTAGACCATTGCAACCTATCTGACACTTCTGAAGAAAGACAACGTAGTTTGCCTGCTGTTTCTCAACCTTGACATCGTCCTGTCCCCAAACGCGCTTCCGAGAATGCCACTTGCGAAGTCAGCGTCAAGCCCTCCCACAGGCTGAGGCGAATCTACTTGGGCCGTGTTCGTTGTCCCCCGCTGCTGTCCACTCGCACGTGTTGCTGCTCGGCTCCCCATCAACCTCCTCCTGGTAGTTGCTGATGCTTGCCTATCCACTTGAAGGCGGCGACGGGTACGTCGAGGGGTCCTGGATCGGAGGGGGAGAAAAACAGTTTCAGTCAATCGCATTCACTTGTCTCGAGCCTCAACCCAGCATGTAAGAAACGAATACACCCAGAACGTTTAATCTGTAGGCACTGTAATCCCTTTAATTTGGGGGCTACGTGCACAACCCTCACCTCCTCTCAGTGCAAGCAGGGCAGAAGCAAGGCTCCTGCCTCGAGGGCACAGCAGGGAAGGTTTTGAGACGTCTTGAAACACACCTCCTTTATCACGTAACTTACCTCCTCTCAGTGCAAGCGGGGCAGAACCAGGGCTCCTGGCTCGAGGGCACGGCAGGGAGCGGTGGTTCGAGGCAGAAGGTGTGGTGCGCCCCTAGGTGGTTGCATCCATCACACAGAAGTAGCAGATCCTCCATGGCGCCTGACTGGCACACACAGCACACCATCGTCTGATGGGAGGGGGAAGGGGATGGGGGTGGAGGTCGAGGGAATTGTGGGAGAATTCATTAACAAGCATGGAGGTCTTGAGAAGAATGGAGGTTCTTTGCAGAAGCACAAGCATATTGGAGAAGCGAGTGTTAAACGAAAAAAAACAAAAGAAAACAAAGAGAAGAGAGACGTAACGAAGAAAAGGAAAAGAAACGAAGGACCAGTCAGGAAGGCAGGCTTACATCGAGTGGCGACTCATCAGTGGGGGCCCTTCTCTTGCGGGTTGGCACCATCACAATGCGCTCGTCCTCCCCACCCCCCTCATTATCACCATCTTCACCCACAGGACAACCAGCAGCAGCAGCAGCAGCAGCATCAGCGGAAGGGGCAGTAGGGAGACTGGTGCGCTTGGCAGCTGCAGCTGCTTCCCTGCTGGCCCTCTTGTTGCGCACTGTAATGAACTCAAAGGGCTCCTTACAAAGGGGACAGCACGGAATGGCTGTGGCCTGTGAGGGGGGCGAAACCAGGAACATGGTGGAAACTGTGCGAGATAAGTTTCGATAAAGACCGAAACGAAAAAAGAGCAGGTCTGATGACAAGGAAGAGTGGCCGACAAGAGGAGGAAGAGGGGGTGAGGACAGGAATAGCGCTACTCACCGCACTCTCAGCCCACTTGTGAATGCATTTGTAGCAGAAGGCGTGCATGCAGGGCAGCACACCGATCCTCGAGGCAGGAGTGTCCTCCTGGCAGATAGCGCACGCACACCCTCCACTGGGACTCGCAAACGCTGCCCTGGGCGGCGTGCGGGCAACCAACACTGCCTTCTGATTCACATCAAACACCGCCTTGGTGGGGGTGCGAAATGCTGCTTTTGGGTTCCCGTCTAAGTATTCTCTGGGGGGTGTGCGTGCAGGTGCTTTGTGGTTCGCATTAGGTGCTGCCCTAGGGGGTGTGTGAGCTGCACCTGGCAGGCAAGTACCCCTGGGTGGACAGCTTGCGTTTGGGGGTGTGTGGGCAGCAGGCATGCGGGGGGGAGTGTGGTGGTGGGGAGAGAGCGGGTGGAAGGGAGCAGGGGCGTGGGTGGTATGGGTGGGGACAGGGGCGGCAGCAGTGGCTGTAGCAGCGGGGACAGAGGAAGGAGCAGCAGGTATGGTGGCAGGAGGATGCGCAGAGAGAGAAGCAGGCGGATCAGCAGAAGGACGAGCAGACGGTGGGATGGGATGTGATGCGGTGGCAAGCCGAAAGGGATCGGCAGAGCAGGAGGCACCGCCAGGTGCTCTCCCAGGGAAAACGTGGATTCCTGGTTGACTGGCCTGGTGGCTGCGAGGGCAATTGCTCTGTTGGGTGGGTCGAAGTAGCTGCTGCTGGTTCTGCTTGCCTTGAGGAGCGGCTTTAGGAGAGCGGCTGCTCCGTTGCTGCCCCCTCACGGGGGAGAGCCGGCTGGCTTGCCTCGAACTGGCTGCCGGCACGGAGGGACGGGTAGATGAGGGAGGAAAATATCTGTGGATGGTGGCCCTGCTTCCAGATGCTGCTGCTCCCCCCCCAGCTGCACCTACCCCTGCTACCCCTGCTCCCCCTGCGACTGCATCTGCTTGTGCTGATGACCACAATGGCACCTCCCTCATCTGCATCTGCTGCTGCTTACAGTGCTCCTGCTGCTGTTGGTGCTGCTGTTGGCTCCCACCATCTATTGCACCCGTTATAGTCCCCTCCCGCAAGAGAGGCAGCTCCGGTATCCTACCCTCTGCTTCTCTCACCTCTTCCACTCCCACCTCTGCTGTTCTCAACGGTCTCCTAGGCTCCACCTTCCTTCCCAGAAACGCCTCCAGCGTCCAAACGGACTTGCCACGTGTCAGCCTGCCAGTGGTCCCTTCGCCGCGTGTCGGACTGCCAGGTGGCGCCACGTCATCGGCCAACATGCCAGCCGCTGCATGACAATGCGAGCTGGGCTCTTGAGGCAAGTCACGTAAATGAGCCCCTCCTACACCACAGCTTTCTGCATCCCCTTCCTCATCCTCTGATTCAGCACCGCCACCAACCGCATTCCATCTACCATGACCACTATCACATTCTCTACCAGATTTTCTGCCAATACCACCATCCCCACCACCATCAGAAGCAGCAGCAGCTGCTCTGCTCTGCAACAGATCCCTCCTCCACGTTGCCTTGCGCAGCCTCTTCAATCTCTGCTCCCCTACCCCCTCACCCTCTCCCTCCTGCCCCATCCGCCCCTCACACTCCCTTACCCAATCTCGTCCTCCATTATCCGCTTGCTCAACGCTCGGCCGAGCATGCCATGTGCTTCGCCCCACACTTCCCTCACTCACTCTCACGAGTCCCCTCTGGCTTCCACACATGTGACTGTCTCTCACCCCACCAGCTCCTCGGGTGAAACCTCTCCCTGGCTCGCTAGCTGTCATGCCATCCCTCCTTACGGGGTTCTCAGGCACACGCTGTGTGAACTCAATCTCATCCTCCTCCTCCTCTTCCTCTTCTTCTTCCTCCTCTTCCTCCCCTTCCTCCTCCTCCTCCTCCTCCTCCTCCTTCTTCTCCTCCTTCTCCTCTTCCTTTCTTTCCTCTGCCACAACCTCCTCACATTCTTCTTCACCCTCCCTCGCCCCGCCCCTTCTCAAGCCCCCCCCACGACTCCCCTCACCTCCCCTCTTCCTTCTCTTCCCCACCCGCCAGCCACCACTACCCCTGTCACTCTCCCTCTCACTGTCACTGTCTGAAAGCACAATCACATCACCACTGCCTGATCGCTCTTGCCTCAACCCATCAACAAAGCCTTTCCTTCCTGCCCCTTCCCTTACGCCCTCCTGTGCCACCTCCTCCTGCCTCATATGCCGTTGTCGTATGTCACTTTGTGTCACACCTTCACCCTCTTGCCGCACACCCTTTTCCCTCACGCCCTCTTCACACGCACCAGTTTCTCTGATACCCTCTTCAACCGCACCAGTTTCCATCGCACCCTCTTCAACCGCACCAGTTTCTCTCACACCCTCTTGCACCACTTCCTCTTCTTCCTGTCTCGCATCCCGTTGCCTCATGTATTCTCTCTGCCTACCCACCAGCAGCTCTCCATTCGCTCCCTCCCTTCTCCATGCCTTTTCAGACGACTCAAAAGTCACCTCCTGCTGCTCTCTCTGCCTATCCACCAGCATCCCCCCATCTCCCCCCTCTTCTCTCGGACTCCAAAGAGTCGCCAGCAGCCTGCGCGCTTGCTCAAACGAGCTGTCAGGCCCCTCATCCTCGTTACAAGCTTCCTCTTCAAGATTCTCAGCAGCAGCAGCAACCGATGGCAGGGCCCTTGGGTTTCCTCCTGCATCCTCAGATGCCAGCTGGCGGTGTGTGCAGTCAAGTGGTGGCCTGTAGTGGGAACTCCCCCCAATGTCAGGAGACAGCAAGATGCTATAATTGAACTCCTCCTCTTCTTCCTCCTCCATACGTCTAGCATCCGTTTCTTTCCTCTCCCCCACCTGTGGTTCCCTCCCTCCAGAATCCGTTTCTTTCGTCTCCTCCCCCTCCAGACCCCTCCCTTGCGCGTCCATCCCTTCTCTCATCTCCTCCTCGCCCCCTATTCTCTCCTCTGCTGTTTTCACCTGAGCACTATCAGGAGCAACCTGAGAGCAAACAGGAGCAACCTGAGAATAATCAGGAACAACATGAAAGACATCAGGAGCAGGCTGTGATGGCAGCAGTGAGAGGGGAACAGGAGACCCTAGATGAATCGACGGCCACATGCCGTCCTCCCCCACCCCTTCATACAGGCATTTAGACGGGGAGGAGGTTTGAGAGGGCGACGGGGAGGCCTTGGGGGAGGGCGGGGGTGGGGATGGGGCAGCTTGGTGTGGGGACGAGGGAGCAGGTGGGGGCGTGGAGGGGTGGAGAATTTCCACCTCGCGCACCTCTGCTGGCCTTTCAACTGTCGTCATTCCTGCTAAAGCTGATACTGGTGCTGCTGCTGGTACTGGTGGTGGTGCTGCTGTTGCTACTGGTGCTGCCGATGCTACTGGTGGTGGTGGTGGTGCTGCTGCTGCTGCTGCTGCTGCTGCTACTGGCGCTGCTGCCTCTGCTGGTGCTGCTGCTGGTGCTGCTGCCGCCGCTGCTGCCCCTGCTGCTGCTGAAATTGGTGTTGCTGCGCCTGATGCAGGTCCTGCACCCAGCACCACTGGTGCTCTAACCTGTGCTGCGCCCTGTCTTGTCGTTGCTGTTGCAGTAGCAACGCCATGCCCTCTGACCCCATCGGCTAAAGCTGCTACTTCAACCCATGTCACCACACCACCCTTGCTCACTCCATACCCCTCTGCACACCCCTCTGGGACATTCTCCTTACCCTGCAGCCTTCTCCTCTTGAAGGGGCTGCTCTTAGCGAAGCGCCTCGCCATTCCAGCTCCCTCACCTCGCCCAAGCAAATCCTTGCCTCTGTCGTCTGCCGAACCTGCCACGGAACCACTGTTTTCCCTCAGCCCGCTGCTTCCCGCACCACCACCCCACCCTCTCCCAACATCTTCCATAACATTTTCTCTTGACATGAGAACCCTGGCTTCTGCCTGTGGCATGACAAGCGGTTTCTCTTCTTCCTGCTTAATCGCTGCTTCAGTCCGCACCCCTTCCTCTGCTGTGCCTGCCTTGCAGTCGCCCACTGAGAAAAGAGCCGGCGGTGCCACCAGGGGAAAAACAGCCGGTTCGTCTGGGGGAAGAGGAGGCGGGGGTGGGGGCCCTGGGAGGGTTGATGGGTGGTGTGGTGATGGTGGAGCGATGGTGATTGGTAGGGTGACATTGGGAGGTGTATGGGCAGGCTGGGAAGGGGCAGGTGGCAGTGGTGGCGCAACGGACGGGAGGGCACGCAGCAGCGTGTCATGTGATGGTGCAGGTGGTAGGGTGTCATGTGATGGTGCAGGTGGTAGGGTGTCAGGTGATGGTGCAGGTGGTAAGGTGTCATGTGATGGTGCAGGTGGTAAGGTGGGTGTGGTGATCAGAGGAGCACGTGGTGGTGGCGGGAAGAGACACGGAGGGCCCACTGCATCGCCCCTGGGGGAAGGAGGGAGGGAGTCAGCCGGGGAAGGGTAGGGAAGGGAAGAAAACGGAAGGGAGAGAAGAGAACGGAACGGAAGGGAATGGAACGGCAGGGGAGGGAAGAAAACGGACGGGAAAAGAAGGGAAGGGAAGGGAAGGGAAGGGAAGGGAAGGGAAGGGAAGGGAATTGAATGGAAGGGAAGGAAAGGTAAGGTGATACTGCGATAACATTCACAGAATGAGACGTACAACAAATGCAGGTGAATAAAAGCGACTCAGCTGCAAATGGTGAAGTGAAAGCGCCCTACCAAAGTCCTCCAGGCGCAAATAGAAACAAAATCAGGCATAACAAGCCTCGTGGGTGCTCCAAACATGCACCACGTAAGGGAGGAGGGTGTAAGGAGCTTCAGGGACGCGCTGGGAGTAGAGCAAACAGTCCTCGAGCCACCGGTGGTTAACCACCCACACTGCGCCCTCGCTGTCCCCCCTGTGCCCCCTCGAGGTATAAACAGAATATTGAAAGACAGCACACGTACGGGTGGAGGCTGTAAGGAGCTTCAGGAACACGTCGTGCGTACAGCAGACAGTCCTCGAGCCACCGGTGGTTAACCACCCACACTGCGCCCTCGCTGTCCCCCCTGTGCCTCCATGCCACGCCCTCGTTATAGTCACAGACGCAATGGTTGCCGTCAGCATGGCAGCGCAAGGCATGGAGAGTTGCGTTGCTGCGAACAGCCAGGTCGTACTTGGGCCCTTCAAACCGATTGCACACCTGCAGGCACGCATGCATGCACGCACGCAGGCAAGCACGCAGGCAGGCACGCAGGCAGGCACGCAGGCAGGCAGAGTGGTGGGGCGGGATGAGAAACGGAACTCTGCAAATACCTGCAACACTATGAACCAGGGAGCACATGCTGGCAGGGCGCTTAAGTTACCAGGTGAGACGTCTCCATTTGAGTTGAAGGTTGCAGCATAACGTACCAGGTGTGTGTTGTTATTTGGGGAGAAGTCACGTGTGAGCCGTGCCCCTGTGGCTTGAATCATGAGCTTCACAGACGACCGCGCGAGTCTTTCGTACCCTGTCAGACTCACCACCACCTCCTCCATACCCGCCTCCCGCTCCTCCTCCTCCTCTTCATCCCTTTCCTCTTCCTCTTCTTCTTCCTCATCCTCCTGCCACTCGTCTTCCTGCTCTTCCGAATCCAATACAAACCTCCTTGCCCTCCTCTTAACTCTCATTCGACGTTTCCCTCTCACGCCTACTGCTCCCAGGAACAACGCATCCCTCGTTGCTACCTCCCTCGGTCTCTTCACCTCGACGCCCTCCACTCCCATCGCCTGTCCCCTCATCCCCATCTCCTCACTCCCTCCCGCCCCACCATGCCTCTCTTCGAGCATCTGAGCTTCCTCTCTCAGGTCGCCCTCACGCACATCACTTCCCACCCTCCCTCCCTCCCTCACGGAATCCACTGTATCAACGACTCTTCCATGTGCTTGCCTTCCTGCCTCATCGCTCCCCTCCCCGTGCCCCAGCTCCGCTGCCAACCTCCCACTCTCCCTCATCTTCTCCTCACAAGCGTCGCTGCTTCTGCCTTCTCCCCTTGTGACCTGAGATCCCCCTTCTGCTGCTCCTCCCGCTACCTCTTCTCCCTCTGTCTCTCCTCTCCTCGCATCACGAACCGTCTGCTTGGCCTCGCTACTGCCACAGCCAGGTATAATCACGCTGACAAGGCACTTAGGGCTTGCAGCCAGGAAAAACTGGTCACCATGAGACAGGCAGACGGAGTCGCCCTTAGCCAGCACCAACACTGACGAGGAATTTCTGCTGACGCGGCCAGTACGTGATAGTGAGCTCTCCCCTGCTGCTCCAGTTCCCGGTCCTGATACCACTCCTACTGCTTCTACTGATCCTAGCTTCCCTGCTGTTGCTGATGCACCTGCTGCTGTTTCCGTAGCTCTAGGCAGAAGAGAGTCCGGCCTGCGGCATTTCTTGAAACAAATGCGGTTGACTCCGAGACACGTCATCCTCGCTGTCACAGCTGGAAATTGCTGCTTATCTTGATCGCCAGGGAAAGCTACCGCAGCAGCAGCAGCAGCAGCAGCAGCAGCAGCAACAACAGCAGTGCAGTGATCGCCACGGGTGGGAAGGTGGTCTGAACCTGGACTGGCGATGCGAATCTCCGCTTGCCTCCGACTGCAGCAGACAATAGATTTCGGATCAATGGGAAACGTCGCTCGACCTAGCATCGTAACAGCGTCGCGTATTTCCTGCCAGAAAAACCGGATGAAAATCGGCGGAGGTGAGATGAGCAAAACATATTATTACCGAAGTGAATAAGGGCCAGGTAGTCTTGAAACCTTACAGCGGAAAACAACAATCCGTTATTCCTGAAAGAGAAACTCAAACTAACCTTGCGCTCGCCATTGGGAAACTGTAAAATGAGGTACGGAGGACGCTGTGCCATAAGAGCCGCCAAAAGATTAATCAATCTGACACGCTGAAGTCACTGCTGAGAAATAATAAATAATGAAAGAATGGCTACTAAACTTTGAATAGAAACGCAAACAGAAAAGTAGTCGCGATGTGCGCGGGACCATCTGGCCTACAGATGCTAGGTCTAGATCATCGCGTCAGATGTACGACTGTGACAAAACCAATAATGGGCCATGGCGTCAGTGTCACGCTCCAGGTGATGGTACGAACTTGGAGGACAAAGTTCGCTTTTAATCAGGTGCCTCGCGTTTTTGCTCGGTCCGAATTGTTCGAAAGCAATAACTCAGTAATATCTTGGTTTCCGTCAGCAACTGAACTGCGTGGAACGAACAATCTCAGATGCAGAGCAGAACTCCTAGCGGTGAAATTGCCGCGTTGCGTGAATGGGATGGGGTCGTATGATCCTATGATCGTACGACATGGATGGCGTGATGGCATCAAGTTCCGACGTGGTTCACAACAAACAACCCGACGCGAGAACCTCTACTTCCGCGCGCCAGATTCTGCCCGCGCAGAACTGAGTTGAAGTGGAGCAGCCAATCGGCAGCTCGAAGTTCCATCCCCAACAGCCCGAGACCTGAATTACAAGAAAGAGAAGGCAAACTGTGCACAGTTTGCCTATCGAACCCACAGTTGACCTCCCGAGCCAGGCTGGTGACCAGAAAAGATCGCATACAAAAAACAGAGAGTCGTGGAGCAGAACAGGTTTGGTTGGCGAGAGTCCCAACCACAGCCCCCAGAAAAAACCTCCTCTCAAACTGTGGACAGTTTGCCTACTCAGGTAATTCAGGTCTTGGGCTTTAACAGTCCTGTGAGCATCGTCACCGTTGAATCTATCCGTCACAGCCTCCGAAACGTCCGATACGGAGGTGATCTGGAACCTGCTGATAGACTTCGAACTACGTTGTGCAACTCTGTGAAACTCCTATAATGATTCAGCAAATTACACGTATGTGCATAATTCCAACTCTTTAAAAAAATCCCGACTTACAAATGAAGCGACAGGTCTAGCTGATCTTGAGCTTTGAGCTCCTCCCTAACTTCAACAGAGGTGGGAACCAAATGAGCAGGCACGGAAGCACCTTCCTTAGCCTCACCCATCCTAGACTTCCTTGCCTGGATCTCAGCATCCACATAAGCAAGCACAGCTTCAATGTTGCTCCTGGACCGAGTCAGGCCCGTCAAACCAGCAACAGGGCCCACGCCTTGTGCAGCACCAGCACCAGGCAACACTTGCCTAGATCCCACTCTTGGCATAGCCTGGGCTAGGAGCTGCATTGCAGCTGCAACCACAACAGCAGGGGGCTGCTGTTGCTGCTGCTGTTGCACCCCTGCTGGGGAGTCCGGACCTTGCGAAGGCACTGTGCGCCCTTCCGAACCTGCAGGTACGGATAGAATAGCCAGACGAGCCGGTACAGCAGGGGCGGCAGGCACGTGCTCATCTGCATGCTCTTCCAAGTCGTCCTTAGGCGCGGGTTGCACGAAGCGCGTCTCCTTAGAGAACATCCAATCCAGGGCCGGCATGGCTCCAGGGCCGGCGGCACCCTTGGACGGCGGCGGCGCCATGAAGATGCCACTTGGTACAGCTTGATTGGTCGCAGCGGCCGCGACGGCTGCTTGGTTACCGTCTTCTGTGACTGAAGAACCCCCCGCACGGAGCAGAGGCTTCGGCGAAGATTCGTGAGTACGAGTCTTTGTCTGCTTCCCACCTCGCCGGGGCCAGCTCGAGGCATCTCCGTTAAAGTCGCTCTCGTTTTCGTCACCCGAATGGCCGTCCGTGTGTCGATGTGTATCGACATCCTCCGTGCGCTGCCGATGGGTCTCGTTCGCCGTCACAGCGAACAGCCGCGATTGGTCCCACGCGGAACCGTCCATCCCCGCGAAATCCACGTCCGACGTGCAGAATTGACGGCTAGCGGCTCCGGAGGCCACACGATCCGCGATCTTGTCGGCACCGGTCGGCATTTGTCGAGCCGCATCCATGGCTGCCGCGGCGGTCACGCCGTTGTTTCCCGCGCTCAGATGCGCGAGCGCAGGCGGTGCAGCGCACATTGCGGCGGGGAATCCGCCGATCTGGTTGGCTCCCAGCATCCCCAGTTGTTGCAACGCCATCTGTTGCTGCAGAAGCATAAGCGCTCCTTGCGGCGACATTTGCGGCGCCATTTGCGAGGCGATCTGGCGGAGGAGAATATCGCGTTCCGCCATCGCAGCGGCTTTCGCCGCCTTCGCCGCTTCCTCCGCCGCAAGAGCCGCGGCGGCGCGGTCTTTGTACGAAGGCCGGCCACGCTTACGCGGGCGCAGCGTCTTGCTATCGTCCTTGGCGCTTCGCTTCGATCCGCGGCTCGAGAGCGAAGTCTGCGGGCCCGCGCTGACGGAGGCGTTGGCGATCTGAGTCGCCGCCAGCGCGCGAAGGAGCTGAAGCTGCGGGAGGGAAGTCGGCCCGCTCTGTGCTGCTGCGATGCCGTTCGGAATCAAAGCGACCTGATTAGCGGCGAGGTTCATCATAGTAGCGGCGTTTGCGGCGGCCAAGGGGAGGTGAAGTCCCGAGGAGGGCCAGCCCGTGGCGAAAAGAGGCGCAAAGGCGTTGTTGTTATTGACGGTCGTGGGAAGGCCGGTCGAGAGGAGAGACGCTAAAGCGCGCTGGCGCTGCTGCATCACTAATAAGAGCTCTTGCTGCGATGTTGACATGGTAAGCGATATTTCTGAAAGTGAAAAAAGAGGTTCTGAAAGACAAGGAATGCAAATCCGATGCAAACGGTGTTGCTGGAGGAACTAAAAAATAAAGACTTCTTTGTGCGAAGAGGAATTTGTGAGAGGACGAGGAGAGAATCGAGTTGTACAAATCGTGCTCGACAATCAACTTGTTAGTTAATCGTTATGCCGCATCATCTTTATCCTCTGGTCTCTCTCCACCCGCCTGTAATTCCGTCTCATCTCGGTGTTGGTTGGTTTGTTCCGTGTTGTCTGCCAATCCCAATCACCACCAGCCCACCGTGCGGAGCCATGCCTAGTTGGCGCACGCGATGGCGGTGACCCTTGTTCCCCGCCCACCTCTTCACGTGGGGCCACCAATTGCTGAGGTGTGGGTTGATGCTGTGCACTGTACATGGTGTCCCGCATGCTTCCAGCTGCTTTCTCACTGGACCATTCTAGAAGGCCGACGTGATCGGAGCTCCTGCCCCACGCAGTTATTACAGTACGCTGGTTGCAGTGCATGTGCGCACCGCTCAACTCAACCAGCTAGGCTTGTCGCATCAGCTGGAGCAGCAATGCTCACCACCTCCCTATGACAGACGTGCACTTTTCAGTTTCCAGACAGTTTTGCCTTTTCTGATTGTAAGGGGGAAAACCTTTTGACACATGTTTTGTATTCAAATATAAATCGTGAAATCTGACACTGAGAGAGCCGTCTACATACATTAAACTAATGAAAAAAAACTCTACAAAGCTCTCCCTGGTCTGGCAAAATATGTTTCGGCACTGGAGAGAGCAACATTAACTTGACGCGTGCGTAGCCACGACTCGGAGGTCAGGACTGTCACGTGATTCAGCGTTAATTAGCGGCATGTGACGCTTGGATGTAATCTTCCAAAGGTTCCAATCTGCTAATCACCAATGAGAGGAGAGAGAACTGCTGCTTTACTGGTGGAACACGGGTGAAACAGCAAACCTGCCTCTCACATGTTCAAGCTGGATTGTTTTGTAGCAGTTTCGTTTTCCGGCGTAGAATACTATTATCCTTCACTGCCTAACTTTTCCTTGGGCTGTTGAAAATGGTTATGTTAAAACCGGAAAATCAGAGTGTAGTTGAGTTTCACCAAACTATTATTATATCCATGGTTTCCTCTAGGGCAGAAAACATATCAGAACCAGCATCTGCCTTTTCCTAACATTGCCTACTTGCCAGCGTGACAGAATCATGTGAGGTAAATGCTGCTTCACGTTTGAAATGATTAAGGGTGAGCGTCCTTTTTGTCTCGTATTGCAATCGACACCAACTCTCAGGAGCACTCGCACATTGCTGTTATGTGACAACTGACCCATAGGTTTCCCGTTATGGGACAACAAATCGTTGGGAGATGCCCGAGAAGTTTGTTAACATCTGTCGCAACATTATCCTTATGCGGTGTAGGCATCCACAAAACAATGTTTTTTCCTGCCCCTAGTTTCCTTGAGCGCGTCAAGCTATGTGCAAGAATGGGATCTTGTTATGGACGCGTCGCATTGCATTGCATGAACCGATGTGGTCTTCGGTTCTCCCTGAACTGAAGCCAATCAACGTGAGACAGGGCAGTGCTTCGCATTTTCTGCGAGACAACCAATCCGTGTCCCGAGAAACGTCTGTTGGCTCTACGCAGAAATTCGGGGGTTTGGGCTTGAGCTTTTCCACATAAGGGAGCCATCGGTGAGATTCCCGATCAACATCCTATCTTCGCCGTCAAAATCCTCGTTGGAGGATTCTTCAAGTTTGGACTCGGTATTTTTTGCCAAAATAACACAAATTAACATTGTCATCTTTGAGCTCATGCAGTCTTTCACAGTAAATTAATGCGCACCTGCATGATCAGAGGAGATAACAACACTGCATGTCGATAGAAAACCACCATACCATTGTGTTAAGGTCAACATGTAATTATCAATGCTCACGTGCATGATAATGAAATGTACCGTATACCTAATTGCACTCACATTAGGAATGCTAATTCGAAATAGACTATTGGGGCCTTGGAATACCCTTTTTTATGTGCTTTGGCATATTATACATGTCTCATTTCATATAATTTCACGTGCTGCATCAATGTGAGGGGCCTGGAGGTCGTTTGGGTGGAGCGGAAGGATATCGAGCAGGATTTTGGATGGCACGCTCCATGGGTGGATGCACTACCTGGTGGATATGCAGGTGTTGAGGCAGGGTAGGGTGTTAGGTGTTAAATATACAAACATAAGATGATACTAATGCTGTTAGGTTTTAATGTAGTGTTCCTTTATAAGACTCTCAGCCCTCCAATAATTGTACAATTATTGGAGGGTCAGAATTATTGGAGTCTAGAATTATTGGCGGGTAGAATTATTGGTGTGGCGTTGTTGGTGTGGATAGAACCATCCTGAAGGGGTTAGCTGCTCAAGATAAATACCCTGCTCTGTCATTTCATAATCATCCTATTGTTCTGAATCATTTCAGTTGCAAGTTCATCTTGCTACTTATTCTACAATCAAGCTTCCGCAACGCCGGCACTATGCCTTTCTAGCATGGTATCATAGCTACTCTAGGGGGCATGCTGCCGAAATTTGGTTAGAACCTTGTCAGCATTCACATTGGACAGGGACATTAGCAAACTCGCACAGCAAGTGACAACATTTGGATTGGAGGCATGGCGCGATTCGACGATGAAGTCGATGCTGGATACGAGGCGTTTGAAGAAGCCATCATGGCTCAACATGAGCACCTAAAGAACATGATTGCAAGGGCACCACCAACACTCCAAGCGTCATTAAGAGCAAAGTTCAACATGCCAGCCCAAGTTCGAGATTTCAGCAACCCGTCCATCCGTGAACAGTCACATGCAAGCACTCCGCGTACTAACCAAACCCGTACTTCAAATATGGATGCAGGGATTGAAGGTGAAGGAGAGGGAAGCTTACCCCAAGGAGGAGAGTCATCCCAAGGGAGGGATGCATCCTTCCAAGGAGAGGGGAGCTCCCACCCCGAACCTCAATCAACCATGCAAAGGGCAGCAACGGGGAGTGGTCGAAGCAGTCATGTGGGCATGGAAGGTGTGGGATTCGAATCCTACACTATTGGTGCTCCCCCACTGCGACGTCTCGCTACTAACTCCCATCCCATTGGAGTTCCCGTGATGGGCAGATCTCACCTCTATGGCAACAACGTCGTACCTCCTCGTGCGCCACAGTTTCAAATGGAAGCTGCACCTGCAGGAAGCATGGGGCGCATGGGGCACGGGATGCAGTCAAGTGGTGTTATGCGACGTGATCAAGTGGAAATGGTGGAACGTGAAGGCACACAACGCACGGTACAACTACCTCGACCATCTAACGTGCCTACGCTCTTCGACCCGTCTCCACGCGAGTACACGGAAGAAGACAAGGACAGGTTGTCACGCAAAATGGTGGGAGCAGCAGTGGACAAAGCGTTCACAACAACTCCATTCGACGGCACTAACTTTCGAGAGTGGGCTCTTCGGTTTCGCATGAACGCGCGCGTGACAAACCTGTGGGAGTTCTTCGTGACGCTACAATACCCGGTTACAATGGTGCAAGGAGAAATGCGAGATGCAATGGAACGGCTGGAAGTTCTACAAGCAGATTACTCACAACGTGCTACGCTGGCTTTTTGGGTGCTTCTGCATAGCGTAAGCGCAACGATTCAGCTGCAACTTGACGTGTTCCAAGAGTCATACAGTCCGGCATTCGAAGCATGGGAGTACCTGATGGAGACTTACCAGGCGAAGGATTCGGTGGCAAAGGCGTCTCTCCAGAGGCAATTGGACAACCTGAAGATGGGGAGCCAAGAAAGAGTGGAGGACTACATCAACCGAGCAACTGCAATTCGGGATAAGCTGGCAATGGCGGGAAAAATGGTGGATGAAGATTCATTCACCTTAAATTTGATCACCGGGCTGCCACCGCATTGGGAGGAGTTGAGGCATTCGGCAATGCTACACGACATCTCGGACAGCTACGCACTGCAACGAATGATGATTCAGGAACAACGCTACCAAGACCTCATTAGCAAGACCAACCGTGACAAGCGTCCTCCCCGCATGGCTGGCCAAGCACGTGGAGATAATTCACCAGCGAAAGAGAGAACCGAGACAAAGGACAACCGGAATGCGGCAAGGTCAGCGGGAGGACGGTCTAACCTTGTGTGTTGGTACTGCAAGGAATCTGGCCACCCGTTCTACAAGTGTCCGAAGGCGCCTCCGGGTTGGTCACCACCAGGTTGGGAACCACAAAACAGAGGGAGAACCAACCAGCGCACCTGGAGTAGCCGCTCGTCCTCGCCGCGAAGGAGTGAAAGTCCGAAACGTGACAACCAAGCGACAAAACAGCAAGGGGCAGGCGGGGGAGACAACAAACGAACCATGACATGCATTGCAACGGTTCGATCGTCGCAAGCAACATCACCGTCAACCGGAGGGTCGATGTGGCTGCTGGACAGCGGATGCAGCCAACACATGACTTCGGAAAAGGAGTGGTTTGAGGGTCTAGAGGAGCTGAACGAACCCGTTTATGTGGAGCTTGCTGACGGAAGCCACCTGTTGAGCTCGATGGCGGGAACAATCCGAGCAACGGCACCCAATGGAACAACGGTGCGCTACACGGACGTACTCTACGTACCCGGCTTGAAGTCCAACCTGCTCTCCTATTGCCAGCTGTACAAGAAGGGAGCTCGCATTCACACACGTGAGGATGGGCGCACGGATATCACAATGGCGGATGGGGATGAGCATGTACTCATTGGAGTTGGAATGGTCATGCATGGG